CTGACCCACCGAACCTGGTAATAATTATATCATCTACAAACATAGATTTATATCCTTGTTTTCAACTCTTCAGCCATTTTTACTGACCTTGGCTAAAATTCCAATACAATGATAAATGAATACCATGTGATCATGTGTTCTTAATATTGTTTTCTGACCTTAGTGGAACCAACCTGGTGCTTTCATGAGCAAGATAAGGATTTTTGTTTTGCTAAGGTAGGAAAGATCCATAAATTTCTAATTTTGAATATTTAAATTTAATATTAATGCATGTTTATTTTTCCAAATATGTTCTTGTAACCATGAGTGGTTATTTCTCTATCCATAAATATGATGGACTATATTCATGAATTTTCAAATATAGGATTATTTCTGAATTCCAGATGTGAGCTTCATGTAGTCATCATGTGTTGTCTGACAAGTTTGTAAGTTTATCCTAGAAAAACTGCTGCATTCTTCATTGTTGATATCACTACAGTCACTTTGGAAGCATTCTCCTTGGGCATAGATGTCAGCATCTAGTCCATCTGTTAAAGAAATTTTGGAACTATTTTTCTGAAATGGCCCTCACAACTGTCATCATGAGGATGTCAAGAGTTTGAATTAGAGCAATGGACAAACATTAAATTTCTTGTTAAAACTGGCAAGAGTGGAAGTGAACATGTTAGTCCACATTTATGAGGGTAATGCCATGAAGAAAACAGCTGTGAACAAGTGCATCCAGTGATTTTCTGAGGAGACAGAAAACATCACTGATTATGAGAAGTCAGGATGGCCAGTAGAGACAGAAAACATCACTGATTATGAGAAGTCAGGATGGCCAGTAGAACTGGTGAAAATACTGCAAAAATCTGTCAAGTTGTGTGTCAAAATCGTGGGCTGACTGTGAGAAGCCTAGTAGACCAATGAAACATCGATAGAGAAACAGGAAAATCTTAACTGAAAATATTGGCGTGAGGAAAGTGTGTGCAAAAATAGTCCTGAAGGAGTTATTACATCATTACAATGCACCAACTTACATACCTCTTTCTGTGAGGGAGTTTTTGGCCAGTAAACAAATAACTGTATGGAATACTATGCCTACTCATCTGATCTGGCCCCCATTGACTTTTTAAAATTACTTGAAGATAAAGAAAACATTGAAAGGAAGACAGTTTAATGACATTCAGAACATGAAGGATAATACGATGACAACTCTGCTGGCCATTCCAGAAAAAGAGTTCCAAACTTGTTTTGACAGATGGACTAGACACTTTCCACAGTGCATAGCTTCTCAAGAGTAGTTCTTCATAGGTAACCATAGTGTTATTCAGCAATGAGGTATGTAGTACTTTTTCTAGGATGAGTACATGAATTTCATTGTAAGCCTTCATATAATATTTTCCAGCTTTTTGCTGTATTTTAGTTTAGATGTTTCAATCTGTCAGCAGATAGTTTTTTGTAATTTTTTTGAAACAATCTTCAGGACATTTTAGGATCAGTATTTTATTTGATTTATAGTAATCATTTGGAAATTCTGCCTACACTTCAATGCTCTTGAATTGAGTGAGTAATGCTGGTTTCTCTAAAATTTAAAAGAAAATAAAATTCTGCCTCTGAATCTCTTTTTTTTTTTTTTTTTGAGTTGGAGTCTCACTCGGTCGCCCAGACTAGAGTGCAATGGCCGCTCCTGGCCACCGCAGCCTCTCCTGCTGGGCTCCAGCGATCCTTCCGCCTCAGCCTTCCCAGTAGCCGGAATTACAGGCATGCGCTACCACGCCCGGCTGACTTTTTGATTTATTGTAGAGATGAGGTCTCGCTGCCCAGGCGGGTCTCAAACCCGCGGGCTCAGGCAAGCCACTCACCTCAGCCTCCCAAAGGCACGGGATTACAGGCTGAGCCACCGAGCCCGGCTGCCTCTGAATCTCATTCTGATGCTTTAAATTGTGAGACTCCTCTAAAAATCTTCCTTTAGAGAGGGCTCACTAGAAGTTCAAATCTTACCTGCATACAATTTATTTATGTAGCAAATAGTCACAAAAATACCACTACACTAAAAGTATAGAGAAAAGAAAAATATTGGTATTAATTGGAGGCTGGATAAACAAACTGTGTGTTTTTTAAATACAATATAAAACTATAAGCTTTTTTGTTCTTTCTATGAACTCTGCGTTTGAAAAAAAGCAAGACAAAACAAAAACCTATCCTTCTTTTAAAAGGAATGAATTACTGAAAAAAGTTATCACTTTCCTCTGTGATTATTGTGCTTTTTAGCTCTCTAACTCTATTAAAGTAAATATTGATAAAGTTTAATTTTTTATAAAGTGTTTATTTCATCAAGGTATACTAGTTAATTGGTATTGTTTTAGGAAAATAGGTAAGATATTTTCCAATCAATTATTTACATTATGTTTTTTCTTTTGCATTTACCCAATTGAAAGAGTATTTTGAGTCTCTTGTGTGATTCGTTTTTACCTACAAATTAAATGCTAATGATATTTAAGGTTCTGAAGGCCAGCAAAGAATTAAATAAGGGGTAGGAAAGATTCTTATGGAAGCAGTTAATCCAGTGAGATCCATGAGCTGTTATCAGTCTTTCATGAAAATGGTGAGACACCAACATTTTCTGCTCCTTCCATGGGAGACCCTTTCTACTTCCCGGAATAATGGAGAAAAGATCTCCAGCATCCTAGTGGTTTCTTTGGAGACGTTTACTAGAAACTTAAAATAGACTCTGAGAATTCAAATTTTTTTTGAACTATTCTAACTCCCCAAGCGTGACCTGGCATTACTACGGGTGACATGATAATTGCAGTTCTGTGGGGAGGTGAGGTCACAGCATCACAAACGTATACTTCAGGCTCTGTCTTTCCCTCCTGTGTATGCTGTGGCTGCTATGACCTTCACACTGAGCTCACTGTCCTGGTGGCAGGAAGGAGTCTGTTATTTCAAACTTCAGTTTGAGGGACACAGCCTGTCAGGAAAGGAGGTGTACCTGGAATCTGGGTATGTTTGCATGTGTGGTAAAGAAACATGTCTGAGATAGAAACTAGTCCAGGGGCAGAACTACACAAGAATAACTTATTCCTGAGATGTAAACTGAGCGTAGGAGAAAGAACAGTGGCCTGAGAACCTGATGCCTGACTGTTGCTAATGTAATTTTATAAAATTCTCATGGAAGGGCTTCTTGGTGTTTAATTCAAGTGTTATCAAAATCTGGATATCAATATGCTTCAGGATTGTGTTTTCAAAATTCATCTCCCATTCTATTTGCACAATACCTCCAGGCAGAAGACAGAGATTTTCAGGATGAGTGTAATGATTTCTATAAAAGTTCTGTGAACGGGCAAATCAATATGATGGAGCTAACCAAATTATCAAATTCACAGCAGAAACAGTGTGATCAAAAAGGAATTGCTGGAATATAATTTTTTTTTTGTAATTTGGGTATGACATACTTAATGGAGACAGTAAATGTGTCTCTACTGAAATATCTGTTGTCTGTTGATCATGGGGAACTATTTTCCTTCCTGAAATTAGGGAAGGTCTTTTATGAAAAAAGTAACATCATAACAGGGGGTTTCAGACTGCAAACAATAATGACTTAATTAATAAAATTTTTGTTGTATTAGAACAAATTAATCTAAAGATATAATCTCATCACAAAAAAAGTGTTAAAGGTGGTATACTCTTTATTATATTTTCTCTTGTTTATAAACATTTCAATGTTATTCCCAGGTTCTCCACTCATTTTTCTCCCATTTCAATTTGTTAAATGCACAAGATTCCATGTTTTCATATTCCATTTTGCATGACTGTGTTATTTTTTCATAGGTGACCCAAAATAAATATTAATCCAAGTTTCAACTATTCTAAAATAAGAGACATATAATTATAATAATCTGTAAACAAGGCTAAATTATTTTCTTCCCTAAAATACTTTATCACTTTTATATTTCATGTCGCATATGTTAGTGCACAACCTAATTTTGAACACTAACTTGTTAACAGGGATTATGTTATTTTTAGTCCATGTGAAAAATGAAATGAGTTTTTTTTAAACTAGGAAAATAGGTGTTTTCAATAAATTAAGTTGGGTCATATAAAATTATTCAGCGCATCTGTAATTTATTCAGACCTCTGAATATTAATACATAAGTTATTTTGGTCAATAGAGTAAATTAGCAAAACTGGAAAATAATCAAATCAAATTTGTAAAGTAATAAATATTTGATATATGAAAGATACACTTACATATATGTGTTTATATTAAAGAAAACCAGTAGCTGGAGAGACACGGTGGATCAGCCTGAAATTCCAGCACTTTGGGAAGCCAAGGTAAATGGATTGCCAGAGCCTGTGGGTTGGCGACCAGTCCAGGCAAGTTGGCAAACTTGTCTCTACTATAAGCAAAAAATATTAGCTGGGCATGGTTGTATGCACTTGTAGTTTTGGCTACTTGGAAGACTGAGGCAGAAAGATCACTGGAGCCCAGGAGGTTGATGCTGGGGCGGACGTGAGTTTGTCACGCATTCCAGACTGGGCAACAGAGTGAGACCCCAGCTCAAAAAATTAAAGAAAGAAAGAAAGAAAGAAAGAAAGAAAGAAAGAAAGAAGAAAAGAAAACAACTAGCTAACTGTTACCATATAGTATAGTAGTGAACACCAATGTCTGTGTTCAGGCTACACAGGTTAAAATCCTGACATTCCTATTAGGATTTAGATTAGTCACCCAAGCTCCTTGTGAATCAATTCTCTTTTCTGATCAAAGAAGAATAACATTAATTTCTAAGTTGTAGAGTTGTGACTATTTAATGTTATATTAAGTAAAGCATTAATGAAAGTGACTCATACATTGCAAGTGCTATAAGAAAAAGAGACTTGGAAAATTTCTTTACAAAAATATACGTATACATGAATTGATGAGTACAGATGTTATTTTCCATTAAAATGTAACCCATAACTCATTTTCCACACAGAACTCTCTGCTTGTTGAATATTAAGTCCTGCAAAATGACAGAATGGCCTCTGTGGATCTGAAATTTGGAATGATCTTCCTATCCCAGGTAGTTGTTGGAATCTTGGGAAACTTTTCACTATTATATCATTACATGTCCCTTTACTTTAGGGGATGTGGACAAAGATCCACTGATTTGATTCTCAGGCACCTGACTGTAGCCAACTCCTTGGTCATTCTCTCCAGAGGAATTCCAGAAACCATGGCAGCTTTAGGGTTGAGACATTTTGCCATTTATTTTGGATGTAATGTTCTTTTATATGTACACAGAGTGGCCAGGGGGGTTTCCATTGGTGCCACATGTCTGTTGAGTGTTTTTCAAATGATCACCATCAATCCTAATAACTCCAGTAGGTGGGTAGAGCTTAAAGCAAAAGCCCCCAAGTATGTTGGCCCCACTAGTATCCTGTGCTGGGCCCTGCAATTGCTGGTAAATATCATTTTTCCTATTTATAAAGCTGTCAATTTGGGAAACAAAAATATCACAAACAACAGAAATTTTGGATATTGTCATGCTCCATTTTATGATGAAGTAGTGACTCCAATGTATGCAGCACTGACATCTTTGCATGATGTTCTGTGTTTGTCACTCATGACTTGGGCCAGCAGCTCCATGGTTTTTATCCTGCATAGACACAGGCAGCAGGTCCAGCGCATTCATAGAAAAAATCATTTCCACAGATCCTCTCCTGAGACCAGAGCCACCCAAAGCATCCTTGCATTGGTGAGCACCTTTGTAACATTTTATGCCCTTTCCTTCAGCATCTATGTTTACTTAGCTGTCTTCAATAAATCCAACTGGTGGCTGATGAACATTGCCGTAGTAATCACTGCATGTTTTCCAACTATTAGCCCTTTTGTTCTCATGCGCCATGAACTCACTATATCCAGTTTCTACTGTATCTGCTGTCAAAAAGCTACACAATTCTCTTATCTCATCAGAACAATGTGATCAATGCACTTAGACCTAAAGGAATCTTAAGAACAATTATGAACTGATTTCACTGCAGAAAAAAGGTGAAGACTACGGACAGAGACTGGGACAGCAAGAAATAGTATATGTAAAAGTCTACAGTAAATGAAATGTTATGTACTTAATATGTAAGTACTTATATAGTTTCACCTTTATTAGTGGTTGTAGTGGAGATATTCCAATGTCATCCTGAAATAGTGTACAGATACTGGAATTGTCTTTGAATGTGTAAAGCTCTTTCTGTGATATTTAATTTTCCTCAGATATCTTTGAACTTGGAAATGTATGACAGTTGCATAAAAGACAACAGCATAAGATGGTTGCTGTGTTTTGGTTATTTGATCTCTTCAAACCTCATGTTGAAATTCCATTTACAGTGTTGGGCATGGCCTAATGCATGGTATCTGGGCAATGACGGAGGACGCCTCTAAATGACTTGACACTGTCCTTGTGGTATGAGTGCATTCTTCCTCTAGTAGCTTCTGCCAGAACTGGTAGTTCAAAAGAGCCTAGCAACTACCACTTGCTTCCAGTCTTTCCATGTGATATCCACACATGCTAGCTGCTCTCTGCCTACTGCCAGGAGTGGAAGAAGTCGATACACATCACCAGATGCAGATGCTGGTGTCATGCTTCTACAACCTGTAGCACTGTGAGCCAAGGAAACCTCTTTTCTTTAGGAATTACTCAGTCTCAAATATTCTTTCATAGCTACAGAAACAAAGATAGTGTTTTTTCAAGAAATTGCGGTTATTGGCCTTAGCTCTGATTTGTAATGCATATTTCCTTGGATAAAACTAGAAAAATATTAGTTTTTATTTTCTGTTGGCTATGGAATCCAGATAGTGAATACTGTGTGTTATTTTTAAAAATAAACTGTAGACCTTTGAGATATGATAATACTTTTTAATCTATTTATTATTATTATTGTTATTTTAGAGACAAAGTCTTGATATACTGCTCAGGCTGATACCAAACTCCAAGGCTCAAGCAATTCTCTTGCCTCAGTCTCCCAAATTTCTGTGATTACCAGGTGTGAGCCACACCACCAAGCCTGGAATATGATAACACTTTTTGAGCAAGATTAACATTTTTGGGTAAACATTTGAATAATAGTCCACAGGGGACAAGAAGAAACATGAGAAGAGTGCCAGCTGTCATTTATAAAGAGTGCAGACAGAAGGCAACAAGTAAATGGAGATTTATTATGTGGGAAAAATTAAGTACAATTTTGAAATATTTAGAAAGTAGATTGCTGTAGATTAAGTCTTTAGTGAAGCTGACTACTTAGGCAAAAAAGAGTTTTCCGTATGAACTTTTAAATTCCAACTTGAGGAGATAAGACTATAAAGAACCCCTGTCTGTCACAGAGGAGAAGATGAATACCAATTTAAAGAAGAAAGATATGAGTATATTAAGTTCAGTGAGGAGATTTCCTGCTTTTGAAGTTACCCAGAGAGCAAAATGGACACCTATAAAAGAATTAATAAGAATATTAGCACAAATATAGGAAATATTTTAATGTGATTTTCTGTTCATCATAAACAGTTATGTTTTTGAATAAATATTTTATCTTTGAATAATTTTAGATTTGGAGAAAATGTACAAAGATAACACAGAGAGTTCTCAAATATCCTTCATCCAGTATCCCTGATTTTAACATTCTGCTATGGCACATTTGTCAAAACTCGAACACCAACGTAAGTACCTTATATTAGCTGAACTACAGCTATTTCACCAGTTTTAAAACTGTCTTTTTTTTTTCTCTTTCAGGATCAATCCAGTATACCACATAATATTGAGTCACCTTGCCTCCCTGGTCTGCTTTGCTTTTTGTTTTTCTTTGTTTTTCATGACCTTGAGAGGTTTGAGAAGTACTGGTTCTATACTTCTTAGGATGTCCCTGGAAATGAATTTGTCTGTTGTTTTTTTGATGGGTTGACTTGGTTTATGAGTTTTGGGGAAGAATATCACACCTAATCCCATCATATACTGTTATAAATTTCATAAACTTCACATGAATAATCTCCAGTGATGATAATCTTGATCTGTTAAGGTAGTTTTTGTCACGTTTGTCCACTATAAGGTTACTATGATTTATTTCCTATACTCCATTTTTTGGGGGATGGATTTTAACATGGAGGTTGTAAACCTAGCACAAATAAAAGTGAGTGAGTGAGCTGAATTAATCTCCACTTACTGGAGGGGCAGGTATTCATTCATATAACTTGGCATGTGTCTGTAAATTGTAAGGAACAGTTATCTTTTCATCTCCATTTATTTTATTGTTTATTTATTTATTTATATCAGTGTGATATCATTTATACTTATTTTATACTTTGTGTCATCATTCAACATTAAACAATTTCTTATAATCTTAAATTGTTGCAGCTTTTGCCATTGGGAAGTGTGGCATAGTTTATAAAACTGTCTGGTATGAATCTTGGTTGCTTTCATAGAGATTCAAAAACTCTTTGAATTTCTTGAATGTTAAGAATGCCTTTTTCATACTCATGAAAGATCTCATGACAGTGGGCCCTACATTTCTTCAGGATGGGGTTTGGTCACCAGAAACACCAACCGGGTATTTACTACATTAAAACCTGCAACTGCCACACCTCTGGGGAGTGAAGGGTGGATGGAACTTGAGTTTAGTTCATGGGCAATGATTTTATCAATCATGCTTAGGTAATGAAACTGCAACAAAATATCTTGGCACTGTGACTTGAAGGAGCAAACTGGTGGGGAAAAAATATCAGTGGACTTAGTGGTTGGGTGCACCCTGATACTACGGGGACAGAACCTCCCATGCTTTTATGTAATTTTCCTACCCCTGTCAAAAACCAACCACTTCTCTAAGTAGTCTTTTACTAGACCTTTTCTTAGCCCTTCTAGACCTTGCTTTACATATTTCATCTGCTTATTGATATATTTAATAGCAAAATGATCATTATTAGTATTGTATCATCCTTGTTCTATGAGTTATTCTCACCAATTATTGAATAAGAGGAATTTGTGGAAAGCTCTGAATTTTTCTTTAGCCTTGCAAAGTGCAGGGAGATGCCTGACGCTTGCAACTGTCATCTGAAGTAGGGAAGTTTTGTGAAGGACTTTGCCCTGGTAATGAAAAACAACCAAAACTTTGTAAAATGTTTTAAAGAGGTCTATTATGAGCCAATGTGAGTGACCTTGGCCTGGGGCTACATGATCTCAAAAGTCCTGAAAATGTGGGCCTACAGTTTGCTGTATACATTTCAAGGGGACAGATATTGCAGGTAAAACTCCATACCAATAGCTGGAAGGCATACATTTGTTCAGACCAAAAATTGGGGCATCTCAAAAGGAGGCTTCCAAGTAAGGGGTTAGTTTTGGAGATCTTTTAGTAGTTGGCAGTTGTTTGAAAGACTTCAGGTTTAACTGAAGACTTGAAGTCAGTACAAAGCAATGCTTAAGTTAAGGTAAGGGGGTCTACTCTCTGTCATGTGATGTTATAGTAGAGTCAGTTTGGAAAGCAAGTCACATTATGCTTGGTTAATAAAAGTCTTGTTTAACCAGATGTTCTGGTTTATAAGGAGTTGCTTAACCCTTGCATTGCATGGACTTATGTCTCAATTACAATTCACAAAGAATATCTTCTATCAGTATTTTTTATCTGTATTTATATATTAATACTGGTCAGTTTTGTCTAAACTCCAACAGGGATGGTACATAACAAGGTACATCTGACCTTTTATACCATCATGACTGGCAATTCAGTTTTTAAGGTGTTTTTGGAGTCCCCTTGACTAAGAGGCAGTCTATTCAATCTGTTGTGGGTGTTTAGAATTTTATTTTTAGTTTTTAGCTCTTAATTTGTGGAGTCTGTGCTAACACCACTTAGTGCCACGACTCAATTAATTGCAAGGCACTTAGTTGATATTAAAGTATAGATGACAGAATACAGGTGCCCTTTCAAGTTAGTTCTTTTTCCCTTTGATGCAATCTAAATTCTTTGGTTTTTGAGTGTTTCCTGACTCTTACTTTTTCCACGACATAATGCTCCAGGCTTACCTTGTAATTTCCCTACCCCATTTTAGAATCAGACACTTATTCAAATAGTTTTTTGTAATTAGAGAATGATATTGGAAAGTCAAGTCGTGGGTGCTGGGGGCTCTTGTTGCTACTGGGGAATCATTACTAATAGGCCCTCAAGGCAGGAATACCTACAAAATACCTTTTGCACACATATTTATAATTGTACTATACCTATCCGTCCACATTTAGCTTTGTACCTATCTATTGTCAAATATGTGTACATACTGATATCTGTGACTCTAATCCAATACCCCAGGGATAAGTCTTAGTTTTTCCTGTTTCTTTTCTGCACCCATCTGTATTTATGAAGTATTACGGCATAGCACCCCATCGAAGGGTCTTGAATTTCTATCATAGGTATACTTTACTGTTCTGGTCAAACGTCAGAAAAATTATTAACTGTTGAAATTGATTACTTGCTAGACATTTTTGTGATTTATTCTGGACCAGGAAAATTCCGAGGCGCCTTCAGAAAATAAATAAAATTTTTCTCTTTGTCTTTAAAATTCCCTTTGTGGGATAATAATCTACAGAGAAAATAATGATTCCTTGGTTTGTTAGGCAATAAAGTAGGAATTAATGTGCTCATGTCATGTATTTGGTTTTCCCATAGCCCCAAGATGACTTCTGCTTTTGGCAAAATAACAAAAGCTACTCCCTCTTTTTCTACTCCTCATTAATCCAAGATTTCTATTTTTTCCAGCACTATTGCATTAGGGATGAGAACAGATAAAGGATGTATTATGTTGTAGTTTCAAACCCCAAAGACTCCCAAAGGGAAAACTCTGTGTTTGAGAAGCCTAAGTAATGACCTTGAGACAACAGCTGAGTCATGGGCTTTTTTCAGGAACTTTCTACTCCTGATTGCAAAAGTCAAATAGACTATATAGCATTTTACATAGGAT